AAAAGCTGCCTGAAAGCATGATGTCAGTGTTCAGGTAAAACACGCTGATATCCGCTCTCTGTTGTACTTGGAATAAAAAGGTATTACTTTGTTTTGATTGTTTATATTGTGTGATATTAAATCATTTTATATTAAATTTTTCAGCATTCTCGTTCCTACGGCTACACCCTAAAATATTTATCAATAATTGATTATCAATTCAAGATCATACCGAAAATGTATACCGAGAATATTTCAAACTATAAATAAGGGCCTGGGGATACAATGTGATAAATATAATTATTACATTATTATTTTTATTAAGTCAGTGACTTTTTATTAATTGTTTTTGATCTTTTAATATTTTTACCTCAAATGATCTACTCAGATAATTATTGTTGTAGAATTTTCTTGCTATTACGTACTTATATGATACATTCTACATTACTTTCGTAAAAAGCTACAACATGAAAAATGTCCTGTATTTCAGGTTAAACCATAAACATGTATAATACGTTTAATGTAGTTTATATGTTAAAATTCTTTATAAGGATTTTGAAAGGCAAAAACACAATAAGACATTTTTGTGGCATATACCAGTTGATCTCGCGCTAAGCTCTTAAAGCATGATTTCCAACGCAAATAGAAATCCATACCAGAAATCCGTGCGCGCGTTTATTTGTTAAATTTTTCAAGAACGCTCAAAACGTTGAGAAGCTCTCTAACTTTGATAAAATTGTTGTCTTTGCTTTCATGGTATTTGGATTTGAAACATGAAAAGCAATTCTTGAAATTATTGGGTTGCTTGGCGGCTCCACTCAGTTTGTGATTTAATGCGCAGGAGAAAAAATGTTGTTTGTATATCATATATAAGTTGAGCAAATGTTTCCGGGGCAATCAGCAATACTAACAATTAACAAAGGTAAACTTAATACTAAGACTAATTAATCCTGAAACACTGAACACTAACTCACCCCCGGTAAGGTTGAAATGTCAGGAAAACTGAGGAATTTCCACTGAGCTATATAATAATTCCTGGAGGACCGGTTCGCCACCAAAAAGCGTAGCCAAAAAGATGGCGGATTTTGAGTTTTGCTGACGCCACTTGGTTCCTTTTGCTCATGGTAGTTACCACTGACATACCGCGATACAAGGTGAAAAACTGTGTCCATCACCCTCCCGATTTTTATGAAAATATTTTCAGCTTTCGGTATATATTTTTTGTTTTTCATATAAAATGGATGAAAGTGTTTCTCTTTTTCCCTGTTCAACAAATGGAAAGGACACGTAGCTTCGTGCTCTGCGTCTGACGTTGTGAATGGCTTAATTCACTTATCGGTAGAGTGAATTTTCTCATTTTGCTCTTATTTTATAACATCCAGGTAACTGAGGTAAGCCGTTTTTCAACTTTTTTTACTATAAACAATTTCGTTTTTTGGCCTTTTGAGTTGGACTATAGTATAAACTGATTACCAAAGCCTCTGGGACAATAAATCCATTAAAACGTGTGGTACAAACAGCAAAGATACTATTTTCGCTTTTTGGGACATTACAGTGCTGTCAATGCAATGTGATATACAGTGGCGTAGCCAGCCTGGCAATTTAGTCATGCTATGCAAATTTTATGTTATTATCATTATTCATTTCTTTAGAAATTCCTTGTTTTCACTGTTAATGAACACCAAAATATTAGCATAGCATGACTAAATTGTCGGGCTGGCTACGCCACTGGTTATATACCCAAATTTTATCATTTTTTCTTAACTTGTGTGGGGAGAAAATTAAATTCCTGGCAGTGTCAATCTTTTGAGTTTGGTCTATGTTGTTTTCATGATAGCAAACATCAATGTTAATAGGTAAACCATTCCCCAGTGAGTCTACTATAATCACTCTTCTATTGATCCCACCCAACATCAATTAACATGACCTCAGGGTGTTGATACAAAATAATAAGATGCTGTAAACAGTGTAAATTAATTCCACCCTCTGATAGTGAGCCCTGTTAAAGCCTAGTTAATATATCATCTTGTTTACCTTGTCAAATCCAAAGTGAAATGATCAATTATCACAGCTTTTAATTTATTTTTTAGCTTCTTGCACCTTGTAAATAAATCTTGATCATATCTCCATTTTTATTTTTCAGGATGAAGTTCATGCATTTTATGACTGTGCATTATTCTTCATTTTCATGTTATCTGATTTTGTTGTTGGCTGGTGTTTTTATACCATTTGTCATATTTATTAATTAATGAAATAAATATAAACATGCATTGACTGCGCAGTGTGTCTTCAATCTGCAGCAACTTTTGTAATTTTCTGTTTATGGTATCAACCTCCAAAGGGATTATATTCATTAGGCTAATCAGTGGAGCCTATGGAGGGATAAATGTTATTCTTTACTATGACCAGGGGTCCAGGGATGCAATTAGAGAATGCTGAAAACTTTTAAAGCCTATTAAGGTTTATTAAGGTACAAATTGATGACTTGAATGAAAAGTATATTATGCAAATATGATTCTTGGTTGAAACTATATTGCTGCACTTAGTATTAGTCAGCTGCCCAGCATTTTGCCTCAGCTTTGGCCTCTGTTTCTTTGGATTTTGGATTGTGCATAGGTATAAAGTCTTGAAGACAACATCACATACTGAATACTGATTACATTTTTCCTGCGAAATTCTACAGCTCAGGGTTTAATTGTTGCCCATAAATTCCTAGTTGTCTTTAAAACATGCGAGGATAGTGCCAAAACATTCAAACATTTGTAAACTTTTATATTGGAATGTATAAGTAACAAAAATATTATTACGAAAATAAAATAATAAACCTGTCAGTTCGTGTCAGTATTAAAATCTTTAGTTGGTCCACATTTTTCCATATTTTAATATATATTTGTTCCCGCACTGGCAAAAACAGCGTGTATCACTTGTATTCATCGTAAAATAAAACTTTATTGTATGTCAGTGCGAAAAATATCAAAAAAACAACCAAAAAACATTTCAAAAACAAAAAAGATTTCACGGCAAAAAAAATATAAAAACCAGGGGATCGGAGAGAATTGTTATTTACAAAAACCAGGGGGGAGAATACTGCTGTAGCGGGCTCATAATTGAGCCTGGTCAGTGGAAAATACCATGGCCAAAAGGAACCAAGTGGCGTCAGCAAAGCTTCTGCGGTTGCGCAGAAGGGCGAAGTCCGCCATGTTTTTTGCTTCAAAAAGATGGCGGCGAAGTTACCGAAAAATGACGAGCCAGTCCCAGTGGCCGGTCCTCCAGGAATTATTATATAGCTCAGTGGGAATTTCCTGTAGTATAAACCTCGCTGTATAGACTGAATATAGATACAGTGTTCGTTCTTGGAGAAGCCGTTCTTAGAATTTGCTGCTTGAAACATTCAACAAAATGATTCGTTTTAAACAGACAAATATCGCTTCTTCGCGAAATGTTGAGCGTCTTTTCAAAACAGTAATTTGCAAATATGAAATATCATCACCTGCAATTGGTCGCAATTCGTAAACAATAATTTCGCAAATAAAATATGGAAATGAGTTCCAAGAAAATGATACTTTTACCAAGAAAAATCACTCTTAAATACTTTTATAAAAGTTTTTATTCTGAAGCCTGAACAAGCCGATGAACTTTCATGAAAATATTTCGAAATAATTAAACGTGTCATGGCCTTCAAACCTGAACTAAACTAACTTTATTTATTCAGTGACGCCAAGGAATACTTGAATTGTTTCACAGACAGTCATGTGATTTTTGTGGTGAAAAATGAAAACTCGCACATCCAAACACTGGAATATCTTTGTGATAAAAATACCAAATAAATCCTGATATTTCCTCTGGTAAAATCATCGTTTAATAGATTTCTGATATCAGATCTGTTGTACTTGGAATAAAAAGGTATTACTTTGTTTTGATTGTTTTTATAGTGTGTATTTATTTGTGCAATTTGGTATTAAATTTTGCAATATTCCCCCACAGACTTGGTAGTTTGTACTGTAATATATACTGGTAACTACAACATTAAATATTTATCAATAAGTCATTATTAATTCATCATAAATATTTCAAACTTTTAATAGAAAAAACAATATATTAGCAACACTTGATGAACTGTTTAATGTTTATCATCTTGTGATGAACACTCACCCACACATGAAGCATAGTTATGTCTCAGTCATTTTGTGTAACTGTGTGTCATGTAATGTTTGTTTTTTCTCCATACATGAGGAAATTGTAATAAAGACAATGGTCTTAATATTTCCTGAGCTAGCCAGACCTAATCTTCAATATTATGAAATGACCTAAATGTAAAGCATGATAGCTGATGTTTCAAATTTTTCAGAAACAAACACAGTCGTAAAGGTGAAGTGAAATTACCCGTTTTCCTGCTGCTTTCCGTTGCATTAAGTTAGACTTTCACAGTTTAAGTGAGAGTTAATACCTCACTATAGCTAAACCTTCAAAACATCAAAACAGCACCATTATATAGATAACCAAGCAGTAAACGTCAAATGTTGTTTTTCGATTATTGAATTCATGCAATTATGTTTTCGCAAAACTGAGCAATACATAAGAAAGCACTAATTAAATTGCTGCCCCCAAACCTTCACATGTTTTGCACAAAATGTTCCAAAAAGACACATCACATGTGTTTCATATAAGAGCAATGTAATATTAAGTAATGATTTAGTTTATGCACAATATGTCTGCTTTGCTGTTGGGTGCACATAGGAAAACAAGTTTCTAGACTGGATTGTAAATGCTCTTAATAACTGCAGAGTCTCAGATGTGCAAGAGAAAATTTGAGGGTGAAGTTTTCTACAAAGTTTAATTAATATATATATATAAGAAAGGAATTAGTCCGCGTCGTAAATTTTGTGATTATTGACTGATTAACGATTTTGGAGCAGCGTTAGCGAAAAATCAGTCTGAAGATTTTCAACAATGACCTCTTTTTACATATTTAAAGCTGGTTTTCTTGTATTAGTGTAAACACTCTATTTCTGAACCACATTTGATGTGCCTGTTTTGTGTGTAACATTTCATCTGGATCCTTGTTTAATATTGTTTCTGTTATAATTTTAGGAGGAGATCAACCATTATTTTGCTTATACACAATGTTGTATAATGTTGGTTGAGTGTTTACAGCGAGGACAACTCAAAGTTATTCAACTCGTGTGAGAAGTTCTCTGAGTCAAGGTGCGAATTATTTACTGAGTAAAAGATCCGTTTAATGTGGCTCCCTACAGCTAGTAGAGTTTTACGTGATCTATAGTAAAAGATCTGTTTAATGTAGCTCCCTATAGCTAGTACAGTTTTACGTGATCTATAGTAAAAGCTAGAGATATTACATGACTTGATACAATTGGGTAAATTGTTCACATTCACATAGATAATGAATAAAAGCGGCCGAAGTATGCTTCCTTGTTGGACCCCTACATTCACAGGCTCTACACATGACTGCTTGTTTATAAACGACGGTGGCTTGGCATCTGTGAGTAAGATACGATTTGAACCATTCACAAACATGAGAGGAAAAACCTATGTAGTGTGTCCCAGAGCCACGCATCCGCGAGGGAGCTCATTCCCCCGTTGATATTCCGTTATTTCAAAGACGTGTCCTTGTTTTATAGGACCTGACTTGATAAGATTTTGTATATATTTTATATTATTTTTAAATGGCTGAAATTTAGCTGTCTCCTTCCCATATTATAACCTGTTCGTTCTTAGCTATTACAACGAGTAACAATTCTAGTTCAAGAGTAATTTAAACGCAGAGCCCAATACTAAAACCCCCAAACCTTAATAAGTTACTGCATATATATGGCGTAGAAATGAATGAGGCCCTTTCAAGCATCGACTTTTCATGTTCCGAACCTAATGTTAATGAGATAAAGTCTTTGCTTAAGTTCATTTTGCACTGGATTTGGCACATGAAAAATTCGACGTCTGAAACGAGCCTAGCTTGCACTAATGTGTTGTACCTAAGGCTCCGTTTCCACGTAGTTTGATACAAGTTTAACCAGAAAATGTTCAGTTAGTTGGGTGTATTCTTTCCAACGTATCTAGCTGTAGCACAGAGTATTTTTAATGTGCTTACTCAGTTACAGTTAGATACGTTGAAAGAAAACTATCCAAACAGCTAAAAAGTTGGTTGAACAGGCAGGGTCCTCGAGAATGATTTTTTACACCATCGTATTAAAATATTATACGTATGAATATTATGCAAAAGTAGGCAATTTATTTATTTATTCTTAATATTTAAAAAATGCTGCCTATTAGCACTCCCAAATCTCCAGTAGATTAGTAGCCTGTGCACTGACGTAATTTATGAGGGAGCGTTGCGTCTGTGCACAGGCTAGCAACCTCGTACCCAGGGTCTTTAACCTACGCTCCACCGGCCACGCTTCGGCGAAGACCCCGGTTACCGCTGGTCACGTGATACGCTAGTATTTTATCGCCTAAGGGGGGGATCTCATATTACATGTTTCCTTGTGCTTCCACTACGCTAGCATTCTTTCTTATTGTTCCGCCATGTTGAACTACATTGCTTTTCTGTTGTGTTTGGAATTTGCCTTGTTAAATAGTGTTTACCAAAACATAATTTTGAAACCAAAGCAAGTTCTTTGTCTCGAACGTCTTTATTTGAAAAACGATGTGATGTGCGTACTGCCAACAGGATACGGAAAGTCGTTGATTTTTCATCTTTTGCCACTGCTCTTATTCGCTAAATCCAAGTTGAGAGGCGATTTACTTACTGGTTGGAAATCGAAAGGTGTTTCTACGGCAGCGGTAGACTCTATAGTCATTGTTGTATCACCTCTCAATTCCCTGACAAGTGACCAAATATCTCGATTGAGCGTAACTGGAATTAGAGCGTCTATTGTTAATACAAAGGAAGCGAAATTGGAGCTTGATTCAGAAGATATCCATGCTGACGAAGTTGTTGATATCGATTTCAGTCAGTGCGAGGAGAACAAATTACGCGACGGATATTATCACATTATATTTGCACATCCAGAAAGTTTTATTTCCAGCAAATTCGGACGAGATTTATTGTTGAGCAAACACTACCAAGAATATCTCGTTGCGATTGTTGTTGATGAAGCTCGCTGTATTGTTGACTGGTAAGTGTCATTTTTAGAGGCCTTCCCAAGTAACTTCGACCATTCTTGCATACCCTTTCTTTCAGTGATCAAGATGGATTTTACACGTTGAGGGATATTCTAACATATAATTTGTTTTCATATATTCAAGGGGAAGTGAATTCAGAGAGGACTATGGCAAGTTAGGGGTGTTATGTGCACTCTTTCCTGATGTTCCCTGTCTTGCCATGACAGCAACAGCTAGTCGAGCAGACATAAAGACATTATTGACTCCCTGGGGTTAAAAGATTGTAAATTAGTCATTGGCAATCCAGACAGAAAGAACATTTTCTACAGTAAAGTCTTTCGACATGGGCAAGATCTCAACGCCATTCAATCCATTTTAATGCCCATTGTGGAAGGTCTGTTGGAGCAAAGAAATGAGTATCCACTTACTATAGTGTATGTTCCTCTACGGTTATGTGGATTTGCCTACAAGCTTTTCGAACACGTTCTTGGTTCCCAACAATATTTTCCTGTTAATTCTCTTCCAATCCCCTCAAACAGATTGTTTGCACAATTTCATTCACCACAAACAAACCAGATGAAAGCATAGGCGGCCCCAAATTAGCGGCCGAAAAATTTTTCGGCAATTTGTCAATGTAATGTATAATCCCCGAGCCGGTGCGGAGCACCGTGCGAGGGTACTAATTCCGCTCGGATATTTACACCCACGATGTGCAAATGCGAAATCAAAGTTGTCCGCCATTATGCAATGGACCTCACGCCATGGACGGTCTTCTACGTTATGCGCATGCGCCAGAGTGAACCACTAAGCTCTTGATTGGTCGAGACAAAAATTTGTATTTTCAAACGTCAATAAATAACTGTCATTTTGCAAAATTTTGATGAAATTTATAAATTTTATGTTTTCATAAAATAAAGAATATATTTATTTTTAATTAAATTAGAGGGAAACTTGAATGTGGTCAGGACTTTTCACGGTTTAACAAATAACCAAATTTTTGACCGAATTCACCGTGTATAATAAAGTCGGAAGATTTTACACTTGATAATATTTCATCCACAGTTTTAAAAAGTAATTCTTTTGTGGTAAACAAAACTTTAATATTCTCAAATGTATTTCACTATAAATCTGAAAGTGTTATGTGATAAGCGACATTATAATTTCATTTATAAACTCCGTTTTCATAATGACAAAAAGAAAAGAAAATCAAAACATTCCCGTGCAAAAACCAGTCGAGGCATAACATAAAACTTCGGAAGTTGTATGAGACGTCCGATGTTATATTTCATGGTAATTAATAATTAAAATAATTTACCATAACACTGACTATATATGAGTAACTTAACTTCCAGAAAAAGGTAAGAATCTTGTCGTATTTTTGCCATTTTTTCACAAAAATATGAGGGTAAACTTTGATTCTTTAAAAATATACGGCCGTTGCGAGTTGCTATGACTACAGTACTTCCACGTGCAGAAAAATTTTTCCACACTTTTCTCAATTTCTTTTTCTCACATACGTAATTTTTCTAACAATCATGTTACCATCCCTATGCTTAATTAATAACTAATTTTGTTAAACCGAGGCGAGGGGTTTCTGCATGCATGTATTTCTAGTATATGATTACATAAGGTAGGAAGCTCTTTTTTACGTTACGAAACTTACCACTTAGACTATGAAAAAATACATCAATTATATTGACCAAAACTAATAAAAAAATATAGTAAACTAATCTCTGATAATTTTCCTCGCTTCTTACATGCGAATTACGATTTAAAACTACTTTTAACATGACAAAATACGGCAATATTTTTATAGTTTTTGATCAAAAATATTTCGTACGATGCGGGATGACAGTGGTCTCTGTATTCGTCATTGTTTTGAAATATTTTACATGATCCTATTGGTTGAAAAAAGTTCGTTCAAATACTTTACAGTTTGTTTCTTTTTTCAACCAATAGGATCATGTAAAATATTTATGATGAAAGAAGAAATTTTAAAACAGCTCTGATTCGTGTGGTTTTTGCCACAATAGCTATTGGAATGGGTGTGGATATACCTGATATTCGCCAGATTATTCATGTTGTTCCTCCATGCAGCATAAAAGCTTATTTTCAAGAAACAGGACGTGCTGGCAGAGATGGCAAGCCATCAGTGGCTTGTCTATATTACAATAACCGAGATATCGCTAAGAACAGGCTAGCAATGAATGATGATATGCGCAGCTATTGTTCTAAAGCTAATATATGCCTCAGGAAAATTGCTGCTGAATTCACTGGATGCAGAACAAATAGTTCTGATGAAGCCATTACACATCTGTTACAGTGTATGCAAGCTGAAGTGTGATTGTTTTAATTGTGTACAGGTTGATTTGAGTGAAATGTTAATTTATTCACATTATTAGTACTAGGGAAATTTACAATAATCAATCATGCATTAAAATTAAGTATAATAGTTCTACAGATGTTAATTGATAATGTTATGGCATGAATACAATGGACATGTGCTTAAACTTGCACACATCAACAAAGATAACAAGTATTTATCTATGTACAGTTTTAGAAAGGTTTTACTGTTAAATATTACTGTATGGAAGCACATTTTTAAGCGAGAAAACTGTCTGGTGTAAAACAAATATCATTTGGCAAAATTAGAATAGTTTGAAAAGTGAGATAGAATGCATTACATAAACTTGACGTTTATGTATTCTCATGTTGATTGTTTTGCCCCAGACAATTTATCAATTCTACTTAAGTATAATTCTACTTAGCTGTTCAGTTTTTATAAAATGCAAAATGCATCAATTTCTTCATAACAACTTTTGATTTGTATAGTTTATAATAATATGTTATGCTAATAAATGTTACATGTCTAATTTAATTCTTCCATATGCCAACAATATTTGTATGGGTGTAGCATGGTTCATAAAGGTTTAGGTTTTTAAATCATTTAAAAACAGGATAAAATCTCATTTTTCCTGAGCTTATTATGCTGTGCATCCTAGGAATTTTGATGTTCTTGCCAGCACCACCTTTCCAACTCACAGTAGCAGCCCATTTGCAACAATGTGCTTCAGCTTCTGACAATA